AGCACAAGGCGAGTCTAATATATATACAGCCGCATATGTAACTCACTGGGGGATACAAATTCTAGCCCACTTCTAGATGAGCTATAGACTTGAAATTTTCGGTGTTTTGTAGGTCTAGTGCCCAAACCCCCGGGAAAATTCCAAAAAGTGACAATTTTAAATTTTAACCCCCCCGAAATTAAGGGTTTCCCCCCCATGTTATTCTTATGGGGAATAACATAAAAAATCGCCGACTTTGGTATGCTCATCTGAACCACTTATAAACGTGCTAGAGACTTCAAATTTGCGTAGTATTGTAGTATGAAATCTTACGTTACCGGTGGAATTTGCGAAAGTCCCATTTTCAAATTTTAACCCCCTCAAAAATCCTAAATGGCGGACCTCTGAAAACGAAAAAACACGTTTTTTTCAACCGGATGTAGCTCGAAAACGGTAAGAGATAGAAAAGATTTGAAAGTATATCCAGGAACAGGAATTACATTTTATACAAAACCCTCTTAGGCGTTTTTATAAAATCGGACTCCTTCAGCTTCAAAAAACGGCCTACTTTCAAAATTTTGTAAATTTCATTCACATTTTTTACGATTTTCGCTATTTTTTCATATTTAAATAATTTCTTTTTGCAGATATTATTAATGCTCTGTATTCTTTTTAATTTACTTTATATTTTACTTATTTAATGTTTTTTTTGTATCTTTACTCCTTAACCCCCAAAACTTAGGTTTAATGTCAAAATTTAAAGGTTTTTTACAACTTTTACGAGCCCCATGTTATTATTACGGAGAATAACATTGAAAATGGTAGACTTTGGTGTGCTCATCTGAACCACTTAGAAACGTGCTAGAGACTTGAAACTTGATAGTATTGTAGTATGGGATCTTACATTACCGGTGAAATTCCCAAAAGTCCGATTTTCAAATTTTAACCCCGCCAAAAATTCAAAATGGCGGACCTCTGAACACGAAAAAACACTTTTTTTTCAACCGGATGTAGCTCGAAAACGGTAAGAGCTAGAAAATATTTGAAAGGATCTTAGCGAAAGAAATTAAATTTTCTACTGAACCCTTATAAGCGTTTCAAAAAATCGCACTCCTTAAGCTTAAAAAAACGCCCTAATTTTAAAATTTTGTAAATTTCTTTCAAATTTTTAATGGTTTTCGCTATTTTTTCATACTAAAACAATACCTTTTTGCAAATATTATTATTGCTTTATGTTCTCCTTACTTTGCTTTAAATTTTACACATTACATGTTATTTCGTAACTTTACTCCTTGACCCAAAATACTTAAGTTTTTACCACTTTTACGAGCCCCATATTATTCTTATGCAGAATAAGATTGAAATTTGATGACTTTGGTATGGTCAAATGAATCGTTTAGAAATGTGCTAGAGACTTGAAATTTGTTAGTACCTATTCTAGTAATGGATCCTAAGTTAATGGTGAAATTTGCAAAAGTCCAATTTTTAAATTTTAACACACCCAAAAATCCAAAATGGTGGACCTCTGAAAACGACAAAACACGTTTTTTTCAATCGGCTATAGTTCGAAAACTGTAAGAGTTAGAAAAGATTTGAAAGATTTTTCATAAACAGGAATTAAATTTTCTACAAAACCTTTTTCAGCGTTACCCGAAAATCGCACCCCTTCAGCTTCAAAAAACGCCCTACTTTCAAAATTTGGTGAATTTCTATAAAATTTTTACCGGTTTTCGTAATTTTTTTATACTTGAATAATATATTTTTGCAAATGTTATTATTGCTTTTCCCTTACTTCGCTTTAAATTTTACTATTACATTTTTTTCGTAACTTTACTCCTTGACCCCCAAAACTACGAGCCCAATGTTATTATTACGGAGAATAACATTGAAATTTAATGACTTTGTTATGGTCATCAGAATCGTTTAGAATCGTGCTAGAGACTTGTAATTTGGCAGTATTGTAGCATGGGATACTAAGTTAAGGGTTAAATTTGCAAAAGTCACATTTAAAAATTTTTAACTCCCCAAAAATCTAAAATGGCGGATATCTAAAGACGATATAACACGTTTTTTACAGCTATTACTAAAAAGCAATTGGAGCTAGCCAAGATTTGAATGGATTTTCATGTTCAGGAATTTAATTTTCTACAAAACCCTTACACATGTTTTCCGAAAATTTCTCCCCTTCACCCCTAAAAAACGTCCTACTTTCAGAAATTGGTATTTTTCAAATTTGTACCGGTTTTCGCTATTTTTACATACTTAAATAATCACTTTTTGCAAATGTTATTAATGCTTTGTATTTTCCTTGGCTTAATTTCGGTTTTAATCATACATGTTTTTTCGTAACTTTACTCCTTGACCCCCAAAACTTAAGTTTAATATAAAAATTTAAAAGGTTTCGCCAGTTTCACGAGGTAATAATAGACTCTTTACCTTTTCTATATGCACAAGGTTATTAAAACTATACAAAGTTTACTGTATTAGAGCTAACACCAAGGTATGAATATAATAAGGACCATTTAAAAAGTCCCCCCCCTCTCTAAATCCCCCTTATATCTATCCTATAGCCACCACAGATTCATCGGTCTAAATCACGTTTACCAATTTCTAGATTAGCTAAAAATCCTGAAATTTGCACCCTGTCCCCCGGTGGCACATTTGTACTTACAAAATTTTACCCCCAATTTTCGCTACTTTTCCCAATCTAAGTAAATTCTTTTTGCAAACATTATTAATATTTTGCATATATACTCTGGTTTAATTAAAGTTTAATCCCCCTATCGTATTTCCAACCTCCTCCCCCCTAATATTATATCCTCCCCCGCCCCAATGTTATTCTTTATAGGTGCGTAAGTCTAAATCACGTTTACCCATTTCTAGATTAACTGGATGTCTGAAATTTGGCCCGATTGTAGGTCTTGCGCCCTGTCCCCCGTGGCTCATTTACCCCCGACCAAAAAAGGGGGCCTGGGGGCGGAGCCCCCAGCGAGCCAAAGGCGAGTCTTCCATATACATTGCGTTTATAGTTGTTTTTATTACATCGCAAATTGAAAATTGTGTTTTATGGATAATGTTTTCTATATTTTTTCAAATTTAAATCCAAACGTGGACATTCAGTGGTAAAAGATTTCTGGATTCTTCGCCAAAAGAAGAAAGAAACCCACGGTGAATGAAATTCAACTTTAGCCATTTAGACAAAATTATGACTATCTGTGTACTATATATCAAAACTAAAGCAGTGTTTACAAATGATTGCAAAATACGTATATAAATCGCTCATATCACTTAATTGCGTCCCAGTAAATACGCAATTGTACTATAAGTGTCAATGGATTTATAAGAATACTGCTATAAGTGTCTATGTACGATTACATTACACATTTATGGAAGTCTAACAACAACGTAAATAAGCGAAATGAAATATCCATTACAAGATAATGTTAGTCATAAAACGACCTTCCTGCATGTGCCTGTGTTTAACTGCTCATGAATATCTAGTACAATAAGAATTATATAATATCTAGTTCTTAATCAATTAATATTTTAATCAGAACTAATTGATAAATGTATTTGTAAAACATATTTTTATAATATCGCTATGTTAGCAATTTTAAAAAGTTTGAATTGATTTATGGGTAGATAGAGAAAGTGTTGCTCGTTCAAAAATATCTTGCAGCATTACTATAGAAGCAAGACTGGTGAATCGTTTTAATATTCAAACTGATATCACACAGCAGGATCCGATAAGGTAGAGATTACTTTGATCTCTGACAAACACGCTACACTGCAGTTTATCTGCAAATTTTCGTTCGTGGCTCAACACAATTGATAACTGAAGTTGTAGGATTCATTGGAAGAATTAACATTTTTTTTCTTTTACATGCTGTAAATATATAAACTGTATTACTTTATAGTTTTAATATTATAATATTTACTAGCAGAGCACCCGTCCTTCGTACGGGGGTGCATATAAGTATAAAATGCTTATTGCAGTTATACTCAAGCTTTGCGTTTGCAATGGGGGGGACACAGTTCGATAAAAATTGTGCTCATAAATTTACGGTATGATATCGTATAACACATCTACCATTGCCATAATGTTCTACCACTGTTACTAAACAATAGAAAAAAATAAATTATCAAACATTCGCACAATATTACAAATTATTCATAAAATTAAAAACTGAAACCTAACTGTAAACAATCCTACTTTGACAGTTCTCATTGTTTATCACAGCTTTTTGTTGCTGCTCAGGTCAAATTAGCTGTTGTCATATATGCAAAAACAAAATAATAATAGTGCTGCACCCTGTTAAAAACTTATAACTTTTTAATGCTATTGCATATTATAGAACCAACTTGTAAAGTTGAAACAGCTGACTAAACTCTTTAATTCCCTTTAAATATGAATACTCATAAGGTTTACATGGGGAACTACAGAGCCACAGGGGTGGAGCGTGAAATTATTTTTGAGATAAGAATATGCCTAAAATTTAATCGGGAATGTGAGCTATCATCATGCCAAATTTCAGCCCAATCCGACCAGTAGTTTATGCGTGATCGAGCAACGCACAAACACACACACAAACTTTAAGATTTATAATATAAGTGAAATAATATTTCTAAAAACATTTAGTGGATTTTGTTACATTGTTAACGTTGAAATTAGATTTTTTTACTGATTCAATGATTTGTTTGTGAGTATTTGGTTTGCTTGAAATGAAAATGAACCAAACACTAATATAGACTGACCTCAGGCGTTATTTTGAAAGTAATATCAATTCTAACCACCGTCCATGTAACAGAGTGCTTTATTCATCAAAAGTAATATCAGTTTCCACTTGGCTATCAATAAACCGAGGGTAATATTACTTCTTGTATATTACACAATAATACACATGGAATATTTAGTAAGCATGTTTCAGCAATATCATAACTTAAAAGTTATGTCTATTTGTATTTTTACATAGTTTATTCCTTCCTTTTGTATACTAATTTAAGTCATTTTATGTTTACAGTTTGTTGTGATTCGTGAGTGCAGTGTGGAAGGATTAGCGGAGTTTATAATTGGTGAGTTTACTAAAATTTAGTATTTAATATTAAATCTTTATAAATGACACAAATATTTAAAATTATAAATCATAGTCAATGTACAAACAGTCTACAATTTGAAATTGTCCTAGAGGAATAACGATTGTTGCTGTATTTTTTAAACACCTCGCGTTATTCTTTAAGTACTGGTTTAAAGTGCTGCTTATAGCAGTTAAGATATGTGATAAACATTATTATGTCAAATAAATGAAGGTTTTGGAGGATAGATTTATATTGGATACTATGCGTTGTACTTGAAATGACAGATTAATTTAGGTGTCAATTAAATTTACTGTAGTTCAAGTTATCACTATTACCTTTGACATCAAATAGTCAATGGGTATTACTTATCTTTGAAATAATAAGCTATAAATATTATAAGTTTAAGCATATCTTGAAGAGCAATGTCTCTTAGTCATAGAACTTTACATTTTTTTATATGTAGACAAACGAGTGCAACATATTTAAAGAAATAACATTATTCTCCCAAAGATATTGTCAAAAGGTAGTCAGCAAGTCTAGAAACCACAGGATCATAAATTAGTAATTTACACATCAACCACAGTAATGTTAAGCATGCTTGTTGTATAAATAAATAAATAAAAGCAATTTACAATGTTTCAATTAAGAAGTTTGACGTTTAGATATTTATTATCTATCTCTTATGTATTTATTTATTAACGGATACACCATTTTTACAAGAAAATACAGAGTGTACTTGTGACAAATGACTGATCATTACATAAGTCTTGAAAAACTGAATTTTTCAACCCTTTCCCTGTTTTAGCTGAGTCCTTGTTTAGTTTAAATTATATTTTCAATACTTGAATTTAAAGCTGTATAACCAGTACTTATCACTATAGTATTAGTTATCTTAAGTATTTTAACATTTTAGCACATACCTTGGGCTATCAATTCGTTTAATCGTTTCATTTTCATCCTAGCTATAATCGCACCTCTTAGCAAGATGTTTTATCCCTCTTTTTAGAAAGGAGTTTGTGCGTTTGAACAAATGAAAGTGCTTTGAAAGGAACACCCTGAGCACAGTTTATGGCTAGAGTTTATGCAAATTTCACCTGTTAGTTATAAGAGGGATGCAAATGTCTAAGTAGGCCTACGAGAAGTGATAACAGGATTGAACTGGTAACGTCCGGTTTCCATCAACACGATTGCTTTAGCAGTGGTAACAATGAAAGCAGTGGCTTTAATTTTATTCGATTATAACCAACATCACGTTGGGAGATCTCAATAAATTACTAGAAATAAAAACATAAATTTAATTGTTTTTTATTCATGTAAATAGAGTTTTATTGGTGTAATATGATCGTAGTGATTTAGTTACCACGCCTTTAAATGAGGACCTCAGAGTTGCCTCTTTCCACCTCTACAATTGTAGCCAATTAAGGAATTCTAGATGTAGTGGCGCATTTTAGTTAAATAAAGTTTGTGCTGCCAAATGCTAAAATTTTATAAATGTGATAATATCCTTTTGCTGTCGATGTTTGTGCAATTGACTGTCTGATCAGATCAAGGCCCCAGATATTGTATCATTAATAAAAACATGACACTAATTGAAGTGCATTTTACTCCCTAGTTTTGTAACACAAATTATTGACAGTTTTTGAAACATATGGTTTAAAAAATAAAATGATCAGGAATTCAGTTTACAATTTTTGATGGTAGAGTAAATTTTGGTAAACGTTGTTTGACACGAAATACATTTGGATTTTTCTTGTTCGTTAATGGAAGCACTCATAACTTAATGGAATTTTCTGGATCCATTAAGTTCTCAAGTAACGTTGAGAAAGTTTCGCCTGTCAGTTGTATGATAACATTAGAATCTGGGGTTAGCTAAGTCCATTTAGAACAATTAGATAAACACCATAACATTTGTATACAGTTTTAGGGATCTACAAAGGCTACATAAAAAATGTCTCTACAGAATGAATAAAGTATATTTTACATCTGTGTTTAATGTTCTATTAATGTTTATAAAGTGGTAAATTTCGTTATATTGCATATAATTTAGTCTATTATTATGAACATAAGTTTAGTTTGGTTAGATAGTTTTTAAACAATAACTGTATTATTAGAATGTATAATTGGATATCAATAATTTAATGGTGCTATCTAACGAAAGATTTAAATTTAACAAAAACAACACTAGAATTTAGGACGTTGCCCTAAAAAAAAAAAAACGCCTAATCGGTTGAAAACACCGACAAATGAAAAAAAAAAACTTAAAAAAGTAAGGGCATTATTGTTTAATTACATAATATTTATTATGTTTGAACAATTACAGAATTTTACAGGTAATTAATGGAAAAACAAATTATGTGGTATTTCTTCAATCTGAATGAGGAGAGTGTAGCAAAAGGTATGAAATGTCACCTTAACCGTAAGAGGTAACTTCCTGTCACATGTCCAACCACTAGATATTTTATCTTATTGCTTCTTATTCAATAAATGATCTATTCCATGGGCAGTGTGCGTGGTTTTCTCATACTTTGTACACTAGACCTTTTTTAATTTCGCAAGTGTATGACAAGTTGATGATACTGCATTGACAAGACGTTTGTCACCATTAACTTTCCACTTTAAAGCTTAAACAATATTGTGTAAAATAAAACTAAAGTGAAATATAGGATGACGTATTGTTTTGTAATCATAATATGATCTTTTCAATATATGTTTAACTATTCGACAAGAAACACCTAGTAACACTTTGTATTCTTTTTCAACGATATTTTCCGTTTAAAAAATATTACCTTTATTAATATCAAATTTAATCATTTGTGAATAGTATAATGTATTCCTCGGTGCAGTAGTGAATAATTCGACTAACATTTTAAGTAGTTATGTAAAATCCTTTTTTAATATGTAATCGTGCGAAAATATATTGGATGAAATATGAGATCCGCCAATTCCATTTCTGCAAGCGTCAGACTCTAGTACAAAGGAGCAATTTTCAATCAGATTTTCCCACCAAATGGGAGTAATATCCTGTTCTCAAACGGCTTAGCGTAGTCACAACTGTAAATATATTCCCAATAGTTATTATTTGTTTGTTTTACTCATTTTAAATGCTGAATATTTTTCGTGTTGTGAAAAATACAGCATGCCAGTTTAAGACCGTAGGCAAATAACAAATATCTATATACGTTTGAGGGATTAATTATTTACATACTTATCACCATTACCTTATGAATATTATTTTTTTAATTAATAAACGTAGGCTAATATCTGTTTTATATAGTAAATAATTTATCTAACGTTGTTTAAATGTTTAACGGGCTTAATCGACTACCGAATCCACAAACCCCTAGTTTCACCTAGCTTACTATTCTCCCTATCCCTTTCAGACCCAGCACACTCATTTGTGTAGATAAATAACACGTTTGTGTAGGTTAGATGTTTATTCGTTTTTTGAAGTTTCTGAAACTTTCTGTTGCTCAGACCTGTACGCATCGATTGTGTAGGTTTTGGAGATAGCTGGGAATTTTTGTTTTGCAGTCTGGCTTCATGTCTTATGGTAACACTGATTGTTTGTTGCAATACGGTAAGATAGGAGAAAGAGGCAACTGTTAAGATTAATGACTGTTTTATTTATGTTTTTAAACGTATATAATGCTAATTATTGCTGAAACTAAAATGGTCAATATGGTATTATGGATGTTTCATCTTTAAAACAAATTTAATCAATAATTTTAGTATTTGAAATCTACGTTAAAACCCAACATTTATTCAAAATTTGCTCAGGACTTAAAGCGGTCGAGATGACCAAGATCCCCGGGTCTGAAAGGGCTATAACAGAATAAGGGCAGAAAAGTTTCAGAAAGCATCATCCTTTCTATCATCGATTTGTCAGCAATAAAAAAAGATACTTCTTTGAGATACAATTTCCGTATAAATAAATTTATAAGACTTTATTTTACTAAGAATAGAGTAAACTTTATCAAAGTACTCAGGTTGTAATATACAGAATGTAATATATCATTCAACTACAATTACTTACCTTGACAGACTCAAATTATGTTGCAAATACAAGGGAAACGGGAGAATTTAAGCATATTTCTTACATATAAATAAGACCATATAATATTTGTTAAACCATATGATGTATAGATTTCAATTGAAAAATAAGTTACTGTTGATATGTGTAAGTCCCCACACAGAGATACGTTTTTATTAAGTTCCGATTAATTACTTTTCTCTTTATCTTTTACGCAATGATTGCGTTTTATAAAAAGGTCTCCTTACCTTTTACCACCACAAATTAAATGTCACAGACAGACTTTTAGCTTTATTGAAAATACATTAACTGTTATAAATGGTTTTCTTTCGTATTGTGAAAACATAATGTAAGAAAATAGTAAAATAATTTCAAGGTAATAACAACATTAAGTACCTAGTAAATAAATATTTTTACTAATTTACTTTAAGACCAATATAGTTTATTAATTGAATCATTTATCATACACAAATTTTCTGTGGGAATGTCAAACTAATTATTGATTTTAATCGGAGTTTATTTGATTAAATTTATTTGATTACGTATATTTGATTACGTTTATATGTGACTTACATGCTTGTGGTCTTTTCTCTGCTTAAAGTATTATAAAAAATAAAGATTTCTTGCAGTAATAGTTGGAATTGGTAATAATCTATTGGTAAAAGTTTGACATACAAATTTAAAAAGGGTTAGGGTAATTGGAAGAGAGTAAAAGAAGGATGGCAAGTTTGGAAAAACATGCATCTCAACTTGATCAAGTTTGGACCCAACGACAAACACAAAACTTGTAACTTTTCAGGACAAGATGGATGTTTGTTTTCGGCTACTTTTTATGTCCTTGTACCTTTAGCTTTTTATAAATTAACTAGCTGACCCAGCGAACTTCGTATCGCCTAAGTTAAAGGTTTCCCCTAAGACAGACCGATGGAAAGAAAGTACCGTTACGTTTAATTTTCAAGATGATCTCGTTCGCATCGCTCAATCACGTCCTGGTTGAAGTTCGTTCGCTACGCTCACTCACCTTTGGGTTGGAGCTCGTTCGCTGCGCTCACTTGCCTTTAGGTTGGAGCTCGTTCGCTACGCTAACTCGCCTCCAGGTTAGCTCGTTCGCTACGCTCACTCGCCTCTAGGTTGAAGTTCGTTCGCTACGCTCACTCACCTTTTGGTTGCAAATTAGCTGTTGTCATAAATGTAAAAGAAATAATAGTGCTGCCTGTGTTGGTAATCCTTGTAACTTTAATGCTATTGAACATCATAGAACAGAACCAACTTGTTTAATTGAAACAGCTGAAGATTCATTAATTCCATTTCTCATAAGGTTAACATGGGAAACTCCAGAGCCACTGGGGCGGAGCCCTTTTAAGAATTTCGAAACGGGAAATAGTTTACGTCCGATTCGCATACCTACAGAATTTACACACCAAATTTCATAACGATCGGTGAAGTCGTTCCGGAGGAGTTTGCAGACAAACACTGTGACACGAGAATTTTATATATTAGAAGATGACAATGCCAGGTGCATTATGACATGAAACTTGCTAGGTTATATTGTATCGTATAGTTTAATGATGCAATTACTGTTCAAATAAATTATCCTGCCATGTGATTAAGTGTAACCCTTATTGGGTGGGGACATTTATCTAACGTGCACCGTATCTTCACAACAGGGAAAATGTATTTTCTGATGCATGAGTTCAGTTGAGAAATGTGTTAAAAACGTCTGAAGCAAAATACAATTAAATTAAAGCAACAGCCATTACACGTGTAAATATGTTGTTTTTAATTTAAATTTTACTGTTACCGTTTTGAAAATACTAAATAAAAATTCTACGTAGGCTGTATTTATTGTGTAAACATTTTTGATAACTATAAAATGTGTCCCTAGTATAACTATATCTATAATTAATATTTTACTTTAGTTAACATGCCACTTTGTTTTCAGGTGATAGTCAGGATTAGACAAGACTTAGCGGTCATGCAAGGTAAGTTATAAGATATGTGTTTAGAAAGTGTACCTGAATTGTGTGATTTAGTAAAAAGTTTAGTTTATTTTAAGAATCAAATCAACATAATTAACATTTACGAGACCTGGAGAGGGGGCGTTATCCTGAAATCAATAAAATAAACATTCATTCAAAGATAAGCTTAGACTTGAAACAAGTCCCTTAACTGATATTACTTTGCAGAATATAATTAAGCATCAATACACATTCTTGTGCTTAAAACAAGGCTATCGTAAATGGAACTTATTGGTTTTCCTTCTTCGACTTAATACCAATAGTGATTGATTATCATAAACTAAACTATTAAACTTTTATTTATTCTCATTTTACTGTTATAACTATTTATAAACAATTACAGGTTTTTAAACGCATTCATTTGATATAATTACTACTTTTAAACATTTTACCGCATAAACTTACAAATGTTATTTAAATATGGAGGTTTATTTTGAAAACTATAGTCATTTATTGCATTTATTAACGTTTTTTAAGTATTGCCCTGAGCTTCAAAATACAATTTACAGCAAATATAATTATTGATTTACATTTTATCGTAGTCTAACTACTAAAATGTAAGTGACGTAAGGCATTCATATCGAAATTCCCATGTTTAAAATCCCAATTTCTGTGAAAAATAGCATCAGTCGTTACAAGTGACACCTATTTATCGTTCTAGCTTAACGGTGTCAAACAACTAATAACAATCCATAAGTCTTCTTTAAAAATGTTTGTGGGACGAAGAAATTCTCCTTGGACTGAAGAAACTAAAATACCTTAAACAGTTCATGGGTACAATGTTTCCTGAAACATCGCATATTATGCGCATATCATCACATATTATTTCACACAAATTATTATCACATACTATTATCACATAGATTTATGCTGCAAATATTCTGTATAGACAGGTGCAACCCATAAACCGCCAAGTAATTAGTAGTGCTAGAAATTTTTTTCTCTAAAAAAAAGAAAAAAATTTATATTTTGTTTGTTTTTTTTTTCAATCGGACTTCTCTGAAAAGTTTTGTAAACTTGGTGAGGCCAAGATGTTGTATTATCATAAATAAATATTTTTTAATTTAAATTTGAATTCGAACGTCGCATATTACACATGGCAACTCAATAGTGCACAAGTATTTAAATCGATATGTAGGCTGAAGAATAATTGTTTAAATAAAATATATTCAATAATTAGTAATAAAATATTTGTTGTAAAATACTATGAAGTATCCTATAAAGCGTTTTCAGCTTTATCAAAAACAGTTAATATTTACGCTTTTAAATACCTACGTTTTACGACTGAACTTCAGAGAGTCTATCAAAGTTTCCATTGCATGTGTCTATGTTGTGTTTTGGTTATATATTTAACGCTTAATGTAGTTTTATAATATGTTAAGAGTTATTCAGAAGTAAAAACTAACTGACGAGGTAGCAGAGTGAATAAAAAGATGTCCACCCGTAAAAATAAAAAGATCACTGGTTTGATTATAAGAAAGGTCAATTCTGGTTGTAGTTGTTCATATACTACTGTAAATGGACTAATGACTAATGATGTTTTCTAATCAATGATCAAATTTAGTCACAATATAGAGTTTAATGCAGTTGTCATTCATTATTGATTATTTGGAATTGTGTTTTTAATCAAGCACCTTAATTAAAATTCGAGTTCTAAAGTACAAACAGATACAAATATAAGCTTCCAAGGACATAATTCACCAAATAATCTACGTATTACCTACGTTCGGTAGTTAACACAGGTAACATTACGTTCTAAACACAAAATAAACATTGTCGCGTAGCCATGGTAACTCGTTCTGGTGGGAAAACATCATGTGAGCTCGGTATTAGTAGCAGTGTAGTAGTGCGTTTAGTTATTCACAAGCTACAGAACATATTTGTTAAAGTTAATCATAACAATTTAACTCATAAACAATACAAAAATGTGTTAACAATATCAGCATAGCAACAACAGCAACATACAAAAATTATGGTAAAAAATATCAATTAATTGTATACTAAATATTAAAGATTATGCGTATAATATATGACATAGTTTGAGGATTGTTCATTGATAAATTTAAAGGTTGATTAGGAATAAGCTATTTAGCTTACTTTAAACGAAGTTTAAAAGATACTTGAATAAAATTAAAGATGAATATTTTTGTTAATATTTTCATAAGGAAATTTGTATCACTACTTTTCGGTTTATTTCGTAATTGCGGACTTGAAAATTAACTTAAATTCAAGGGCTGTGATTAATATAAAACGAGAATCAAATAAAACCAATATTTTACATCCATAACAATTTATTTTTATTTAAAGTTGGCAAAATATCTTTCATCCTGGGGTAGTACATTTTGAGATTAAACTATTGTTTTATTGGTGTTAGTGATTCAATAACTGGAAAAAATTTGCTGTTACTAAACGTATTTTGTATACGTAAACGATGAAGCAATAATTGTTACGTATTTTGAGAAAGAGTTATAATTTATCAGCTTTAAAAATAAAATATTTTTAAAATTTTTATACCAATCAGTGACCTATTTTGGTAATCTAAAGCGACAAAAACAAACTACTCTTGGTTGTCCTGAGGGTGACACTTTGCGATAAATGTAAATAACGGTTGTTTGTCAATAACCAACCCTTGTTTTTCATATCGATGTCATCTACTCCAGAGTTTAGTGTTGTTTTTGGTTCAAATGCTGGACGAAATGGTGAAACGTTTCAATAATTGGATTTTAGAAGACAGTTATTATTAAACATTATCTTTTTTAGAATAATATTTTAGTTTAAATGTATCAAAATTATTACGTACCTAGTTTAATTTAGTTTAATCACTAAATAGGTTAATTTCTATTGAAGACGGTTAAAGCTGAAGTTACAATATGTTTGAAATTTCGTTGTAAAGACGCTATAAAAACTAAACCGTTAAACAAATATTTATAAATATAGGTATACATTGACACGATATCTTGCTGTGTGACAATAGTTAAAACTACTTTTAAAATTATTCCCAGTTAAATAATATAAAGCTGTGTATTGTTTTAAATGTTAAATTAAAATAAAATATTCCCAAATTCAAAATTTGTAAAATAATAAACTAAGATAAAACAAAAAGTTGTCGCAGGAGCGGAAGTTTTCTTTAGCTGTGGAAATTGAAAACTTTTATCATAGCGTCTTTCGTGACGTCTTAAAATCGATAACCCATATTGATAAAAAGGCTGTAGTCTGTCGTTACGATACAAAACCGTATTCGATTGTAAAAAAACTACATTATTTATTACATTACATTGTTAAAATTACATTAACTAAAAACTCCTTACGATATTAGGCTAATATAGTTTTATAATTTAATATCTAATATATCTCTTATATATTTTAATATAATACAAGAGTGACTTAATGAAAAGTAGGCAAAGCTGATCAAAGAAACACCAACCTTACTGAAGTAACAATAAATACAATTTAGTAAAGTGTTATTACTATCAAACTGTTAAACAACTTGAATGGCAATAAAAACGTTGTACAAACAAAATTGCAGTACAAAACTGTCATTTACAATGAATATAATAAAACATAGCAACAGTAGTTAGATCATTTGTAATTTCCTGTACATAAAAAAACAGAATGCAATTATCTAAAAAGTGCAATAAAAGTACAGTATTTAAACTACGCTTGATAATTGGTTTCTAGTTTTTTTAGAGCCAGGGTCATTTTTTCTATTACAGCTGAAATAATGCGTTTAGTGTAAATAACTTAAAACCAAGATATACATTTGAGGTTGACTGTATGAGCCTGTATGGAAAATAGTCCTAGATGTTGACATCATTATGTTTATCATATATTTCAATATTTTCCAGTAGAGGAACAGTTTTTAGATCAGTATAATCTACGTCAACTGTATTTTCCTACCACTACATGGAAATGATCACATTGTTACAACTGGAAACAGTATGCAAAATAGGCCATTACCGATCTAGAGCAGGAATGGATCATTCCCGCTCGTTAAATCAGCTGATTTCACATCAATGCACAGTGGAAAGAGATGGTTGGGCCAATAAACCATTTGAAGCCATGTGAACACATCAGCGCATTTTATTAGATTGATGTTTAAATAGTTAGTTGTTTTGTGTTATTCTATAAGAAAATACAGTTGACGTAGATTATACTGATCTAAAAACTGTTCCTCTACTGGAAAATATTAAAATATATGATATATTTTCTAAGACAAAGGTGCATATTTTTCTATGAAACGGGTTAGTCATATTATTATATTGAGGTTCATCGCCAGTCATTTTACCCGAAAATTAAAGCCATAAAACGCTTTCTATAGAGTATTTTGATTTGACCTTAAAGCAAAAACTAGAATAGTAGAACAAATGGGAATTGGTCCGTCGCACTCGCCTTAAAAAACGTTTGTCTGAAAATGTTATCAACCCGGCAGACAGTCTTATATTATGACCGTTGCTGTAAATTGCTATTTTTAGTTTATTTTGTTCTTGTTATGCAGAAGATTATGTTTTGTTATAATTTGCTATATATTTATACAGATTATTTTTGTGTTATAAAGCACTTTAAATAATAAAAATAAATAAAGTAGAATAGACAGAAGAAATATTATATTTGAAAATTCATGATAGCTTGATTATTTCAATATAATTATATTATATTTCATTCTTGATTTTACTCACTTGGAATAATTTATATTCTATGTGGAATAATACAAACTCAATATTGTAATTTTTCAACTAAAACGAGTCACAATAGCAGCATGTTGTCGTAAAGAACTTCATTATTTCAGATCTTCATTCCTAACGACTGATAATCTAGGTTAATGGACTATTACTCTCCCTGAATGGTTATTGATATAGTTCTATGGTCTACAGCCAACGATTCCTGTAATAGAAAACATGCACAGTTAGAAGACATTCTAATTTAATTTTGCTAACCATCAAAATTATAATCAAACAGCTATAAAA